CTGGCGTCGGCCCCCGAAACCTGCTGCTTTCATCTGGGCAGCGGGGGGTCAGGGAGTGCAGAGAGGACCCCGGGTGACAGCAGCCCCTTGGGGACGGCGAAGGGCTGGGGCCCGACTGGCGGCCGCGCGCGCCCTCTGGCGGCCTGACCGTCTCTCTGCCGCGCAGGGACCCGCGGGCCTGACCATGGGGCCGCCGAGCCGGGAAGCCTGGACCCAGCGCCTGGGCGCCTTTCGGGCCAGTCCGTCCACGTTCATGGCAAGTCCCGAGGGCGAAGGTTTGGGTCGCGATCTGCTGAGTGACCTGCGGAGCGAGAAGCTGAGTGAACAGACTAAGGTAGGCCCTGCCTGCGCCCTCCACCCCGGCCCTGTGCACACTCCCGGCCTCCTTGTCCTGACCATCTTTGCAATTCCCAGGTTTCCTTGCTGGCCCTAAGCGTGGAGTTCCCCACGCAGCTGTGGCCCGATGCCTCCGCAGCGGAAGCGGCTGCCACCTCCTTACTGGACACTCTGGTCCTCCTGGCCCCTCGGCCCTCTGCCCTCCGGCGGCCCCTGCTGCTGGCGGCCACCACCGTCCTGGTGGCAGGGGGCACGCTGGGCCCCGCCTCCGCAGCCTCTGGCCGCCTGCTGCCCCTGCTGCTAGGTCTGGCCTCTGGTCGAGATCTGGGTCGGGGCTTCGGCCCGGCCTCGGAGCAGCGGCCCCTGCAGGCCACAGCGTGCGAGTGCCTGCGGGAGCTGGAGAGCTGTCAGCCGGGCTTGCTGCGGGGCCAGCTGGGGCTGCTCCGGGGCCTGCTGGGGCGGGAGGGCCCGGTCCAGCCGCTCAGCCTGCTGCTCGCCCTCGTTCTGCGAAACGTCTTGGTGGCACAGGCCAGGGCTGGGACCAGCCTACTCAGTCTGCTCACGACGGGGGACTCCTCCACCAGGGATGGGTCGCATCGCTGGGACTGGACACGACTCGAAGAGAAGGATGCCCCCTTACAGCCCCAGGCCCCCAGCTGGCCAGCAGCTGAGGAAGGGGAGCAAGGCCTCGCAGGCCTGGAGCCCAGTCCTGAGGAGGCCCGGGAACTGCGGGCCACCGTGGCCCAGCTCCTGGACGACGCCTACCTTCTCACTCCGGTGGCCCAGGCCCAGCTGCTGTGGCTCCTGGGTTGGGGCCTGCGAGGACTGAGGGGCCAGCCGCCAGCACTCTTCAAGCCACAGCTGGTCCGGCTGCTCAGCACAGCACAACTGACCCTCCTGCATGCCGTTCTGGCGCTCAAGGCGGCCTTCGGTGAGGCCCTGTTTACTGCCCAGGACGAAGCCCTGCTGCTCCACCGGCTCACCATGGCTGCCCAGCACCCGGCCCTGCCCCCAACCACCCACCTCTTCTACTTGCACTGTCTCCTGAGCTTCCCTGAGAACTGGCCGCTGGGCTCCTCGGGTGAGGAGGCCACCCCACTGCTGCTTGGGCCCCAGCTGTGCCAGGGCCTCCTGCCCAACCTCCTGCTGGATCCCGCGGCCCTCCTGGCGCGCCTGCACCTCCTGTGTCTGCTCTGTGCCGACGACAGCGGGGAGGAGGAGCAGGAGGGAGGCCGGGTGCAGAGTCTCCAGTGCTTCCTGGAGGAGCTGCTGGCCGGCCTTCGGCAAAGGGCTGCGCTGGCTGGGGGCCCTCGGGCCTCCGCCACTCTCTGCTTCCAGGCCTCGTACCTGGTCGCCCGTTGCCTGGCCGGGAAGCCCGCCGTGCTGACCCCTCTGACACACGGGCTGGCCCAGCTCTACCAGGCCCGGCCCACCCTGGCCCCCCATTTTGTGGACCTTTTGGATCAGGTGGGACCTGAGCTCGGGGAGCCTTTACGAGTGGTGCTGCGGCAGGAGGTGGTACTAGGCTCTGTCCAGGATGGAGCCCTTCGTTGGCACCTGCAGATGCTGGTGAAGGTGGCAGACGGGGATGCCCAGAGCAGCACCCTCCGCTTCCTGCAGGCTGCCGCCGCCCACTGCACAGACTGGGGTCTCCAACAGGCCCTGCTGCGGGTCTGCCGCACCCTGCTGCAGGCAGGTGGGGGAGGTGGCTTGGCCGACTTACTGCAGGTACTGGCCGAGCAGTTGGAGGACCCTGATGCGCGTGACCACGCCCGCCTCTACTACCTCCTCTTGGCCCACCTGTCGGGGCCAAAGTTGGGGGCGGCTCTGGGCCCGTCGCTGGCGGCGCCCGCACTGGCCTCCTCGCTAGTGGCGGAGAACCAGGGCTTTGCAGCCGCGCTCACAGTACAGGAGGCCCCGGCCTTGCTGAGTCTGAGCGTGGGGCCGCGCACGGTGGAGGGCCCGGGGCCTGTGCTGCAGCTCCTGGTGGAGGCTCTGCAGCCCCTCTACACCCTAGAGCTGCGCTTCCACGTGGAGGGGCAGGTCTACGAGCCCCTGGGGCCCATGCACGTGCCCTGCCTGCGCCCTGGTCGCCCTGTCGGCACCCTGCGCCTGCAGCTGCAGCCCCGCCGCCCGGCCCCCGCGCGCCTGCACGTCCACGCGCTCTACACCACGCCGGACGGCCGCACCTGCCACACGCGGCTGCCGCCCCTGCCCGTGAACTTCGAGGATCTCTTCCTGCCCTTCCCAGTGCCCCCCGAGGGGGCAGGGCCCGCCTTCTTCGAGGAGCTCTGGGCCTCCTGCTTGCCTGCTGGGGCTGAGAGTCGCGTCTGGTGCCAGCTAGGACCTCAGGGACTAGAAGCCTTGGTGTCCCACCACCTGGAGCCCTTTGTGGTGGTCGCCCAGCCTCCCACCAGTTACTGTGTCGCCATCCGCCTACCCCCAGCCTCCCGGCTGCTGCTGCGGCTGGGGTCACCCCAGGAGGACGGAGTGCCCGTGGCTCTGAGGACTGATGACTGGGCAGTCCTGCCCTTGGCAGGGGACTACCTGCGGGGGCTGTCGGCTGCGGGCTGAGCCCATGGCAGAGGGGTGAGAGAGGACTAGAGACTTGGATGAGAAAAGACCCAGTCTGGGTCGGGTCTGGTTTCACCCCGTGGTTCCTTTGATTTAAAAAGTCTCTGCTCTTCCCCTGTGTTCTTTGGGGCCCTGGGGTGATGGGAAAGCTATGAAAGTGAAGGTAGGAAAGCTTCCAGACTCAGGCCTGGACAGTAGGACAAGCCAAAATTCTCCAGAGTGCCCCTCCGAGGCAGAGGCTGGCCAGCCTGCCTTCTGCACTTCCCACTGACCCGGCCTAAGGCAACGTGGGGACCCAGGTGGAGATGGCATTTTATGGACTCCAGGTTTGCAGGGTACTCAGGCTAGATTGGATGATGGGTACAAAACCTGCTGTAGAGAAGGCTGAAGAAACCAGGTGTTCTTTGCTGGGTCAGCAGGCGGCCTGGGACCTGTGCAGTCTAGGAGGGGCCAGTTAGTTAGTAGGTGTGAGGCTGAGATTGCTGCATTAAAAACAACAACTTGGTTTCTGTTCAGTTGCAAGCAGGGCAGTCCTGTGCCACATGGCCAGCGTCAACTAACCTGGCTTTCCCTGACCCTAACCCCAGCCTCCAAGCACCCCAGTCTATGCCCAAGGGAAGCACTAGCCCCCTTTTTCCAACTAGGAAAGGCACTGAGGAGTCACATTTATTGAGGTCAGCTTTGCTGCCAGGGACCAGTCTGGTGTTTTCCACGCACATTTCCACATACATACTACTCATGCAGTCGTTGCAACAGCCCTGCAATGAGGAAGTGGGTAGGTCAGAGAGGTTGAGTCACTTGCCTAAGATCACCCAGCTGGTTGGTAAGAAGGTTTTGTCATCCCTGGAGTGGTTTCCATTCCCTCAGCAGCAGAGGAGCTCTGTAAGGACACAGCCCCCAGGATGCTAGGGGGCCACAGTCTGCAGACAGGCGTGGGAGGCGGGGGTGGGGTGGGGGGCACAGTGCAGAGTGGGAGGCCAGTGGGGACTGGGAAGCAAGGAGGCCACAGGCCGGACTGAGGACAGTGCACGCTGGGCTTTAACATTTTGCAGGAAGGGTCTCTCAGGCTTCTTGCCCCCAGGTTCCTGTCTGTGAGCCAGCCTTGCCCCCTCTCGGCTTCTCCTGGAGGAAGGGAAGCTAACTGAGCACAATTGGAAGCTGTAGTTGTCAGGAGACCTGTCTCCAGCTGCAGATCTGACTGTAACTTGCTCTGTGACCTTGGCTAAGTCATTGCCTAATCAGAAAGGGTCAAGTTTGTGGAAACTGGCACTTCAGTTGCTTTAAGCAGAAAGGGACTGAAGAGAACCAGGTACTTTCCGAGGACCAATACTAGAACCTATTGAACTTCAGGACGTAATGCCATACTTGCCACCCAGCTCCTGACAGCACCCAGGAAGCTGGGCCTTTTGTCCCTGGGACACAGCCTGGGGAGTCGGATGCTGCCTCTTGACACCCACAAAGCCAGAAACCTGGAGCTGCTGGCCCTGCCCCACACTGGGCCCCAGGTGAATGGCCATGGCCTTATTTCACCTGTACTCAGAATGAAGGTAGTTAGGGTCCAGTTCTCAGGTAAGGAGTCATGGCTGAATGTGCTGGAATCCAAGAACACCAGTGGTGGTCCTTTATAAGCATTTGATTCTGTCTTAAATCCCTTTCTGATGTAAAGACTGATCATTCCCCCTTTCCTTCATCTGCCCAGAAATCCATGCCATTGTATTCGTAAAGTCAACAATGCTGAGGCTGGAGACAGACACCAAGTGACCTCCAGCTCACCAAACCCAAGTCTGCTGTAGTGAGCAGTTGTATGAGGCCCATATGGCCTGGCGGGCAACTCCTAGGGTACAGAGCAGGTGCAGAATTAGTACATCAGAGGGCCTGGGCATACTTCATTTGACTGAGTAATGTCAGAGGAAATATTTCCCCCCTTTACATCCTCAGTTTGCCTGAAAAGGCATACAAAGAGGTGGCAGTGGAGTGAGTTAATACCCAGTGCCCTCCACAGTCCACCCTTGTTTACTCAGTACCCACACACCTGCTGCAGGGCAGTGTGTTCCTTTTTTTACATGACCTTTCTGGGTATGGTCTTGTATCTTCGACAAAATGATTGGATGGGCCTATGCAAATAAGGTGTATACAACCTTTGCTGTAACTGGGTGGTATATGCAAATAAGGTGCCTATGATTTACCAAGGGATCAGTTTTCAAACTTCTTGGCTTAAAAAGAGTTAATCCCAGAGGTTGAGAGGGGCACTTGATTACCATCTGTAGAAAACCAGGAGTGGAGTGCATTCTTTGGATGTGGGGTCCCTGCACTGAGAACCTCCTAAACCCAGGAGACAAAAGAGCTGTTCACATCAGAGAAGGCAGCAGTGGGAGACAACGTGGCACAGGACCAGCAGATGGCTGCAGGGCGTTCACTGATTCCCAGGGCAGGAGAACTGAGCACCTTCCGGCACGAGGCTGAGGTTCCAAACATTTAACAACAACCTAAGGAATTGTACCTCAGCAAGACAGAGATCAGACCCAAACAGGGCCCAAGGGGCAGAGATCTGCCTTCAGGCACAGCCTGAAGAAGCTGTCCTGATGGAAGAACCTTACCCAGAGTTGTCCCTGTTTCTTCAAAGTTGCTCCTGTATTGTAACCCATCACCTCCCTAATACACCTCTTCATTGGGAATAAGGTTTCGGAGCTCTGTGTGACCACTGCAATGAATTCTCAAACCTAGCAGATGAAAAGTAGAACGTATCCTAAGAACAAGGCCTGACATCAGATGTGGTAAAAAGGTTGGAGGTAGAAAGAGGTAGGCCAGACCTTTACCTCCCAGTAATCGGCCTTCGGTTAATGCGGACTTTGATTCTCTGCTCGAAAGGAAGAGAACCCCTGATACTCCAGCTTCTTCTCTGTTAAACTTAGAACATAGCCACAACATGTTACTGTCTTAACTATTGCTCAAAAACTCACCTACCTGACTGCATCACTAGAGCTTACAAATATATATATATATATATATATATGATGAGGATGGTACAAGATAGGGCCACGTATCATCTTTTCACAGGGTCACTGTGAGTTAGAGTTAACTGTACCTAACAACTAGTCTACCCCAAGAAATTTGGAAGATAGTAACCTTGCCACCACACCAGTAGCGTAGCTTTGATGCTCCTGTCAACAACTTCATTTTACTTGGATCCACAATTAGCAGCCTTGGTGTACCAGTCAGGAAATCAGGAGACACATTGCACTGGGAGAAGTCTGCAGTCAAGAACCTCTTCAAATTACTGAAGAGTAATGATGACAGTTTGAGGACTAAGGTGCATCTGATACAGACCATGGTCTTTCTGATCACTTGCTATGCATCTAAGAGCTGAACAATGAATAAGGACGACAGAAAAAGAATTGATACCTTTGAGCTGTGGTGTTGGAGAAGAGTACTGAACATCCCATAGACAGCCAAGGGAATAAATACGACTTGGAGAGGGTGCAGCCAGAGTGCTCTTTGGAGGCAAAACTTCGCCTCACATACTGTGGGCATGTTGCTAGGAAGAGCTATTCCTTGGAGAGGGACAGGATGCTCAGAAAGGTAGAGGGTTGGTGAAGGAGAGGAAGACCCTCAACCAAGTGGACTGACACAGTGACTGACACTCAAATGGTACAGGGGTCAAGTCTGTTGTTCACAGGTTCGCTATGGGTTGTACTTGACACCTAACAACGACAACCACCACCTTACCATCTGACTGAAAGAGATGCATATTTGTTCCCATTCTAAAACATGGTGATCCAACAGAATGTGGTAATTAACCCAACAGAATCATTAATATCACATGAAAGTAAAATCTTGCTGAGAAGAATTTAAAAATAGCTACAACAGTGATTAACAGGGAACTGCCAAAAGTTCAAAAGTTCAAGCTGGATTCAGAAGAGGCCATGGCATGAGGGAGATCATTGCTGATGTCAGAGAATCATTACTGAAAACAGAGAATACCAGAAAGATGTTTATGTTGAAAGGTATTTGAAAATGTGTAGCACAACAAATTATGGCTAACATTGAGTAGAGTGGGAATCCCAGAACGCTTAAAATGTGCTCATGTGAAATCTATACCTAGATGGAGAAGCTGTTGTCCAAACAGAACATGGAAACACTGTTGTTATGTGCCATCGAGTCGTTTGCGATTCATAGCGACCCTATGTACGACAGCCCTAAACCCTGCTCTATCCTGTGCCAATCGCACTGCCTCTGACACACCCATCCTGATTACCCCAGTCACTGAATCAATCCACCTCATACAGGGTCTTCCCCTCCTGCGCTGTCCCTCTACTCTACCCAGTATGATGTCCCTCTCTAAAGACCTGTCTCTCCTTACAACATGTCCAAAGTATGTCAGACGAAGCCCCAGAATCCTTGCCTCCAAGGAGTAGCCTGGTTTAACCCTCTCTAGGATGATTCTGTTGGTTTTCTTGGCAATCCATGGTACATTCAATACTCTTCTCCAGCACCACAACTCAAAGGTGTCAATTCTCCTTCTATCCTCCCTAGTCATTGTCCAACTCTCTGATGCATAACAAGTGATTGCAAAAACTATGGCCTGTATCAGATGCACCTTAGTCTCCAGAGAGACATCATTGCTCTTGAGTACTTTAGAGAGGTCCCTAACAGCAGACTTTCCCATTGCAATACATTTTTTATTTCCTGGCTGCTGGTGCCAAGAGTGTTGACCGTGGAGCCCAGCAAACTGAAGCTGTGAACAATCTCAATCTCTTCACCATCCATCCTGATGCTACCGATTGGTCCAGCGGTAAGAATCTTTGTCTTCTTGACATCGAGCCTCAGTCCATATTGAAGGCTGCAGTCCTTGACCCTCTGCAGTAAGTGCATGAGGTCCTCCTCAGTTTCAGTGAGCAGGGTTGTGTCATCTGCATAATGCAGATTGTTGATAGATTGTCCATCAATCCTGATGCCATGCTTCTCCTCATAGAGCCCAGCCTCTCGAATAATCTGCTCTG